TCAGCCAAGCGGCGTCCACCACCCTTCGGTGATCCGCACCTGCAGGACCGGACCGTGGACCGGCGGGGTGCACCATGCGAGCCTTTTGAATCAGTTGCCTGCCTACCTGTATCGCCGCGCCCCGCCAGCCCCACCGCCGCCAGGACAGCCGTAGAGGTCACTGGAATTTGGTCCAGCCTCCCGGAGCCCTTCCCGGGGTCCCACCGGGCTCCGGCCTGGGCCCCGCCCTACACTATATCCCCCCCCCTCCCCTTTGCCCCCACACCTATGAGGGACGCGTTTAGAACCTTTCTGCTCCGGTGCGTCTCCTGCCTCCTGCCTCGCCGAGCCGACCGGAGCACAGCGGACCGGACGGCGGACGGCAGCCTCTTTTTCCTATAATTTTACCTGCCTGCGTCTGAAGAAGCCCTGACGGCGGCCCCTGGCCCTGCCCCCCTGCCCTGTTCTGTCCTGGGGGCCCGGGGGGCCCTGGCCGCCCAATGGCGGGGCGGGGTTGTCCGGGGGCCCCACTTTTGCTTATCTCGCGATGGTAATTGCAGGAGCGTGTTTTGTGGCAACGCATTAATTTTACAGAGTTAGCGTTTATATTTTTCGGTCACGTTTTTAAATTGGGGTGGTGCGGTGGGTGTGGGGTATAAAGCAGAGCGATCCGTTTTGCAGTGATAATAACGGCGCTTCCACGAAGTGGAGGAGCTAAGCGGGCTGTTTGGGCTGCTGCTGTGCCCCTCTGTGCCGCGTTCTGCATCCAGCTCTGCCAGGTTGCGCAGTGCAAACTGTCGGCAACAGTTCGAGTCGAGCGTTAGTGTGCGCGACATTTTTGACGATACAATACACTTCTGTTGCGTTGCGAGACTGTTGGCCGGGCTTGCCTGCCTGCGTTCTTGCTGCTGCTGCAAGGAAACAATTAGCACCCGCCGGCGACAGAGTTGGTGGTGTGCCGGATGGTGCCGGGCCGCCGCTGCAGCGCGCGCTGCGGGCCGCGAGGGAGCAGAGAGCTGTATCCAGTTGACTCCACTTGACCCGAGTTATCTGCCCGCCTCGGTCGCGGCGGCGCTGCCCGCCTCCAGCTAGCGCCTCGCGGCCTGTCGTCGCGTTGTGTTGTAGCAAGGAGTCCAGCTGCTGCGGCGGCGGCGCCCGTCGTGTACCCCGTGTACCACCGTTACCCGCTCACCGGCGGCGCGGGCGTAGCGCTAGCCGCGGCGCGTCGAGTCGGGTCTGCCTGCACTCATTATTTTCCATTTCCGTGGTCTTGACCTTGGCGGGTGCCCAGGCCGGGCTCTGGCGGGCGCGCGCGGGGCGCGCTGGCGGCGCTGGCTCCGCTGCGAGGGGGGGAGTGGGGGCTAGCGGATCCCCTCCGCGGCGGCGCGCGGGTCCCGGGCCCCGGCGCGGGCGCGCGGCCTGCTGGCGGGGGGCTAGAGCCCGCCTGCGTAATAGGGAAGTGAGTCACTGGACGTGGGTGGGGCGCGGCGGGGCGCGGCGGGGCGCGGCGGGGCGCCTCTAGACTGGCTCCAGCGCCGCCGCCGCTGCCGAACCGATCCGGTCCCTCCGGAAATGGCGGCGCGAAGCTGACGAGCCGGGGGTCCAGGAGGCCGGCTCAGCATGCAACCAGGACAGTCGATGCGATCTGTGCCCGCCGCCGCCCCCGCTACCCTGCCCGCCCACACCCTTGTCCCCGTCGGGCGGGGTGAGGCGCGGGCGCGCGGCGTGCCTTGGGGCGCTGCCAGCGCCACTTCCGGCTTACGGGCGGCGCCTGGTTTGACCTATTTGGGGCGCCAACGCCCCGGCCCGTCTCACCCAGTTGACTTTACCCACTCGGCCGGCCGGAGCCGAGTCCCTCCTGTTGGACCCGCGCCCCGCGCCCCGCCTCTCTGCGCCCCACTTCGAACAGGAAGGAGGGGTATCGCGGCGGCCCACCCCCGCCCCCTACCCGCCGGTAGCGGCGTCGCGGCGGGCGGCGGCGGCGGCGGCGGCGGCGGCCGCTGCTGTGTGTCGTGGGGTCAGCCAAGTGGGCCGCGCTCCGCCTCGCCACGCTGCGCCGGCCCGGCGTGCAGCACCGTTTTGAAACCGGAAGTGGAACGTAGTCTTCCCTCTCCTCTTGTTCCCTACCCCTCCCTCCCCTTCCGGGCCGCGATGCCGGGCCGCGATGCCGAGCCGGCGGACGGACGGAACGTCGGCGGACGCTCGGCCCCCGCCTCGCCCCCTCGCGGGTTTGGGTTATTCAGGGACCGCCTGGCGGTTGCCCCCTCCTCCTCCCCCCTCCCACCCTCCGTCCCGCCTTCAGTTCGGCCCTCTCTGACGTGGCTGGCGCGATGGCGTTCGTACAGTTGGATCCGCCCGAGCAGGAACCCGGCGCAAACTCCTCTTGACCCGTTCCTGCTCCTCGACAGCAAAACGGCGGAGACTAACTCTTGGTTTCTTCTCTGTTTCAGGTGTGCACTTCGTTTCGCGTTACCGCCCTGCGTGCGTGCGTGTGTGCCGCGAGGATAAAACCTTTCGACAACTGTCTTCTCATTTCCTAACATGCATTTACCATTGCGTTACTAAACCAAATTGGCCGATGATGCACATCGCGGTAAGTCGTTCGGTCCGGCGCGCTGCTCTCATCGGCCGGTGCCTTTTGGCGGCCGCGCCGCTGCCTCTCCTCTTCTATTAGTGTCGAGGTGCGACTTGGCCCCGTTTGGAGCCCCTCCCTCCCTCCCCTTCCTTTCCGCCCCGACCAGGAAGTGCCGCGCCGTGCCCCCGCTGCGTGCCGCCGGCCCGGGCTGGCGCATGCTGGCGCCGCTGACGGAGGGCCCGGCCCTCGGCCTGGCGGCCGCGCCGCTGACCGTGCCGCTCATGGAGTGATGCAGAGTGCAGACCGGGTCAGCAGACGGACCGTTTATTTTGGGCTCTGCCGCAGCAGCGGCGGCAGCATCGGCGGATCTTGCTTGGACGCCTGCGTCGTAGATTTGGATTGGGGGAGGGGGGGGGGCGAAAGGGATATTAAAAGTGCGGGGGTGAGAAGCCTGGGACTATGAGTCTTCTTGTGACACTTTCAGGGAAGTGCCACTGCACCCGCTCGGTGTGCCCCCGACCTTCCCCGTCGCACCTGTCGCACTGAACGCATGGCGCCGGGCCAGCCGAGTGCACCCCCTACCCTACACCTTCCCCCGGGGCCCGCGTCGACCTCGCGCTCAGATAGACCGCGCCGCCGTCATCTCAATAATTATTGCTCTCGCTCCCCCTACTGCCGTCGTCACTCTGTCTGGAGCGGACGCTATTACAGCGCTTGCTGGTCTGGCCCTCGTCCTGGCCGGCCCCCATCACGGTGGGGCGGCCGAGGAGGAGGAGGAGGCGCGCCTCCTCGCGTTGCTTGCATAGAGGAAAATTATTAATAAACCTCCGAGGCACGCAGGGAGGAGCGGGTAACGGGGAGAGGGGCGAGTTCCGCGTCGTGGGGGCGGCGCCGTCACGCGGTGTGGTGTTAATCCGATATTGCGTCGTCGAGGAGGCCGCGGGATGCCCTGCCGTCCGGCCCTCGGCATTGGCAACGGAATAGTACTCCAACTCTGCGTGAGCGCGTCATCCTGCCTGGCGAGCCGCGCCGCGGGCCGGCCGAGGGGGGCGGCGGCGGCGCCAGCAGCAGCACCGACCATTTGGTGGCTATTTATCTGAGCGGATCTCTTCCGACAAGCCTTGCCGGCCTGGCGGGGCGTGGCGCCGCAAGTCGCGGCAGCAGCACGGCGGCGTTTAGCTACACCTGCTGCTGGGCCCGGTGGCGCTACGCTGCTCTTGCTGCGGGGCGGGCCCAGCCCTCGGCCCAAGCCTTTAGGCCCGGTAGGTGATTGCTATTTCCGCCGCTGAAGTACTGTTGGCTCGGTCGCCGGCGGGCGCGGCTCAGGCGCGGGCAGGGTCCCTCCACCACCACCGCCTGTGCGTCGCTGCGCCGTACAGGGTAGGCCCCCCCGCATCGCGGGAGTGCGCGCGTAGGTTGCCTACCTTATCGGTGCCCTGGTTCTGGAAAGAGCTTCGCCGCGGGAAGAGCAGCGAACTCTGTTTGTCGTCGGGACACTCCCCTTATCCTCACGTATTCCAGGTAAGCAAACAGAAAGCTCCGCATTGCTGGCAAACTCCCCGGAGTGTCATTCTGCACGAGAATTACTCGCTGTAGGCTGGCTGCGTCTTTCACCGCCCACATTATTATGGGCGTCCTCCGAAGAACGCAAAATATTGGCGTTCTGCGTTCCTCTTTGAACGCCAACTATTGGCGTCGTTTTTGCATTTGTCGTCTTTCAACGCCAATCTTTGGCATTCTTCAGAGGGACGCAAATATTTCGGCGTTATAAGTCGCCAACCAGTTTAGAGTGGTGTTAGAGCGCAGAGTTGACGTCAACGACTCAAGTGTTGCGGCGAGACAGAAAGTTTTTCGGGGCAAGTCTTCGCAAGCCGGTGGGATGTCGAGGGGGGGGGGGCTGTGATCGGAAAGGGTTACGGGAAAGGGGCAGGAGTAGCGGGGGAGAGGGGAAGGGGAGGGTCGACAAGCGCTCTGTTTGCTTTTTATTCCATTTCACATTATTCCGGCATGGCTTTTGACACATGTGGCGTGTCGGTCGGCAGCCCAGATGCGGTGCACATGGAGCTGCGGGGGTGGGGCGGTGCGTTGTGGGGCGCTGCCCCTGCCCTGGGAAAAATAGTAAGTGGCAAGGTGGCAGTAAGGTGGCAAAGAGGTGGTTTTTAAGTGGCGAAGTGGCAGCCCCAAGTGGCAACGAGGTGGCAACTAGGTGGTAAGGTGGCAGCAAGCTGGCATCGGGGTGGGCCAAGTGGGAAGGAGGTGGCATCAAGGTGGCATTTAAGTGAAATTGGCCGCTTAAGCGCACGAGGTGGCACGTTTAGGTGGCATCAAGCTGGCAAGTAGGTGGTAAACGCGCGCGCGCGCCGCGGTTTAGGTGGCAATAAGGTGGCATTTAAGTTGCTCAAAAGTGAATAATGGAATTTCTAGGTAAAATAGCGCTAGACGAAAATACGTTTGCATGTATACATTTATTGGTAACAAAATTGCACATGACAATGAAATGCTCATCAAATCCATCATTCTACATATTGGAAGAAGTCACTTCACATATTAACTAACCCTTCATAATAAAACAGAAAAATATCACATAAATGCTTTCAGATATAAAATATGGCCTCTCTTTAGAAAATAGCAAATTTCTCACTGACTCTGACCTTGGTTTTAAACGTTTTTGTTGGTGAGAAATGACAAGTACTATGACCAAAAGTTATTGACAGCTAAAAGAAATTGGGCCAGTAGGGCCGCTCACAGAAAAATATGATATGAAATATAAGCATAAACATTAACAACAAGATTAAAATTTACAAATACTAACCGACTAAATAATTTATCATTTGGAATTTAAGTCAGAGTAAAAAATAAATACGTGTTTTTACATCAAAACGGTAATAACATAAAGTAATAACAAATAAAATAAAACAAAACAAATCAAACAAACTAAACATTTGTTAAGATTTATTGATGACTAGATTAATTAATGCTGAGCATTTTCAGTAATTTCTGGAGCATAATACGTGTCATCTGAGTCACGACTATTTTCCCTGCTTTTTGATTTGGGTGATGAAGACAACCGACTGTCACATGATGTGGATCTGCAAGACTGACTGTCACTTGACTGCTTGGATGTTGAATGATTGTCACTGTCAAAGAGGTCGCCTTCATTATCATCATCAGGACTGAAATAGAAACAGAGGGTCAGTAAGTAATTTTGTATAGACACACTTTGACCGTAAAAGTACTGGATTTACTCTAACACTCTATTACTTACATAGAACCTGCTGAGGAAACATTCGAATTTCCAAAATCCTCCACATTTTTCTTCTGTGGAGTGCTGGTTTTGTCGGCTAACTGATAAGGAATAAAATCAGTACCCTCAACATTAACCGTTTTTTCGGTGCTGTTATCCACAGGTTCAAATTGGTCATCAGGATCACTGGAATTCACAATTTTTCTCCCACTTTTATATGAGGTGTATTCGCACCTCCTTTTCTTTCTCTTTCTCCTTTCCTTTGAATGTATAGGCGACGGCACCTTTGCCCTGCAACACAAGTAACATGCTTTTTAATCCACTACCCGTGACAACGCATTGTTTCGACACTCGAGTGAAAACATGATAGCTATTTCAAAATTGATTACAGTACTATTTACCTTTTAGCTCCCCTTGGTTGCCCCACCCTATATAGTTCTTGTGCTCTGTCGCCTATTAGACTCTCAAGGCTCTTGACTATCTGCACAAGACGTGCAGCCCTTCTCGTCTTCTTGTCAGGTTCACTCTCTTCCCTTACTTGCTTGTCCCATTGCCTATGGGCAATAATAAGATCAAGTGGGTCAAGTACTTCATCTTTGCGTTGCTTTGGTTTTGCCCACTCATCAAGTACTTTAGGGTTATTCCTCAGCCATTCCCGAAAATGTTCTGAAAGAGATAACACATGATGTTCACCACTTTTTGCTAAAATAATTTCAAAAAATAAAAAATAAAGGAGTCTAACACTTTAATGACAAGAAATCCTTACCTCTAACAACAACCAAATAGGGAGGTATAGATGGGATAACTTTGAGTCGAGTATCTTGTGTCCTAGGCTGACGACAGCGGTAGAACTTTGCCTCATCTTTGAAGAGGCCATAGAAAATATTTGAAACCCAAGCCTCTTTAGATACTGCTTTCTTGGCAGTGGCCCAATACTCGGCACAAATTAACACACCTTCACCAATATCAATCTGTAAGAATGCAAAGACAATGAATGTATGTGTTGACATACAAATATGCTGGTGTTATAAATCAATACACATTCACAAACCTGTTCACCAGGTGAAGCCTTCAGTGTAACCCGTGCGACGTGTGCTGGTCCTTGGGTTGCCTGATGCTGGACTACATCTGTTTCCTTGTTCCCAACTCGAGATTCTGTTAAATAATACGCAAATTTGATAGAGCATCAGCTAATGCACTAAAAACAAAGAAATTATTACCTTTAATTGAAATTACTTACCTAGATTTCTGATTTTCTTTTCCATTTTATGAAAGAGGCCATCGAATGTGTTCTTGGTGCCTTGCTCCTGTGCAGAGACTTCCTGTCTTATCGATTCCAAGAAACTTTGCTGCTCCTGGATGAGTTGTGAAACCTCGGACTTCAAATTAACCAACTCTGCCTTCTCAACTGCAAAGCGCTGCTGTACTTCCGAGGCAATATCATCACGCAACTGGTCAGCAATCTGTGAACACAAATCTTCATGGATACCATTATAAAGTTGTTGTCTTATAAGCGCAAAGTCAGATGATGATAGAAATGTCCTGGGTGAAGCAACTGCTGTCTTCGAGCTGGCTGCCCCTTTATCTCCGGTATTGACTATTGGAGAGGACTTCTCTTTGAGGTTGTGCTGAGCGGGTGGAGGCTGCTGCTGTAAAACTTTAAGAGCTTCCTTTTGGTACGCTTTCATAACTGTATCCATGGATTTGACATTGTTGCTATGTTTTTGTTTCTCCTTAGCCTGAAACAGCAAAAGAATGTGTTGATGTAGGCTACACAGGGTTACATAGATAAGTGACCACTCCTCTACAACACGTTACTGCTGAACATAGGCAAACAAAGTGGCAAAATAAGAAGCTTCAACTGAACTACACTATGTACCTTCTGTGATGGAACGGCATTATCCTCTGATGAAGAGGGCTTGCACATCTGGCTGCTAAACTGACTGCGAGGCCATCGTATCGACGTCGACGCGTTCTGTTTTTTTGCAGTCATTGCACTGCTGGATGCTGAAACGATGATAATAAAATTTAGACAAGTCCTGGTTACGACTTATTCAATTTTAGGTTAGGAAAGAATACTTACTTGCCAGCAGAAGCACATGCACGTATTTCGATGGCGTTTTTGGTGACGCCTTGTACTTATGTTTGTCAGTGTACTTAAAATCGTTTTCATCTTTAGGATGAAAATTTTTAATAAGATCAATTCTAGCAACAAACGCTTCATTCCGGCCGGCGCCCGCAGGAACAAGGTACGCGTACTTGAGTGGTGCTTCATTTTGTTGAACGTTTTGCCGCACCATTCTCACGTGTTTATTTTCTCACAAGCAGAAAAAATAAATAATGTAGAATAGTGAAGCGTTTCAAAATGAACCAACAAACGGACCGAGCGTCACCTTACCAGTAAACCACCTTGCAGTTAACCTTAAGACAAAATAAAAGAGAGAACTTTTCAGTATAGTTTGGCCTGCGCAAATAATACAACCACCTTGCTCGAGGAACAAGAAGCGAGAGAGTGAGAGAGAGAAAGCGGATGTTTGATGTCGAGAAAAGATACCTCCCATACCTATTCAGATTCGAATACAGAGGTATGAAAAATCAGGTGCCCCTTTACAGTTGGATGGTGCGTGTTTTCATACCGCCGAAGAGGGAGGGGGAGGGAAGCCTAGGGCTTTACTGTGAGTGTTGGGCAATGGAAAATCCAACAAATATCGCAACAGAAGGGTTAAGTTGGTTTTCTTTTCTTGGAGGAAATTGTCGCTTGAGCTGGGGCCGTCCGTCTGCTCTGGAAAATCTTACCTGTTTAGTATGGCTCTTATGCCCCGAAGTGACAGCAGTACGCAAATCTTGACCGTATTTACTTCAACTGCGCAATGGAGCCGGCTTACAAGCGTTACAAAGTTGACCCAGCGATACCTATTCCTAAACGTACGCTTCGACGACATAAGCGAGCCAGGGAAGATGCAATAATGCTAGTAAGTATTTTGGTGTTCGCCTAACTCGTGGCTGACTCTTC